TATTGACTTTCCATTAATTCTGGGTAGTACCATCATCAAAATGATGCTATGTGTGTATTATGACCAGATTTGTATAAAATTATCATGGCATGAAGATGTGTGTGCCTCATTTATTTTTATACATAAATGTTTTCAATATGCATATTAAGTACTAGAGCTCAAATCTGTGGGAGAAATTAATTTAGTAGAGTTTGAATTGCAGTTTTATTCTCGTGATCATACCCTAGATCTAGGTATCATCAGAAACTGCAAATTCTCTATGACCTCACTTTCCTGCACTGCAGTCTCACTGATTATAAACTCCTATCATTTCAATATTCTTCATTTTGTTCCCTGATCTCAGCAATGATTCCACTAGGATTTCTAATTCATTGATCCTACCACTTTTTACTGTTCAACACCAACCACTGAATATTTTTCTTCTCTCCTTAGTCAGCTAAATTCCTGTAATAAGTGAATGTAATTTTAGTTTTATACTCTTAACTCCCTTGCCTCTCTCCCACTTTATTGTATTCATTTGATATAATCATGACCTGATTATATTTAAATCTCCACCTATTCTATACCCACAATTAATGAACCAGGAAAAAGCACATCATATGTCAATGCAACTCACTTTACATTCGTGACCACCAACCTCAAGTGGGTATATAATCCTCCTGCAGTTATTCTATAATTTTTACATCTTTTTTTCCCAAATGTCCAACATCATCTGTCCCATCCTTTCTCTTAACTGATAACCTTGATGTGTACATCACTTAAAAATGTAAAACACAAAGAAAAGTTCACAAACCCGTTATTACACCTACCCAAGTATAACATTTATACCCATTTAATACCTATTTACTCTGCTTTTTTTTTTTTTTTTTGAGACGGAATTCCACTATTGTTACCCAGACTGGAGTGCAATGGCACGATCTTGGCTCATCGCAACCTCTGCCTCCTGGATTCAAGCAATTATCCTGCCTCCGCCTCCCAAGTAGCTGGGACTACAGGCGAGCACCACCATGCCCAGCTAATTTTTGTATTTTTAGTAGAGACGGGGTTTCACCTTGTTGACCAGGATGGTCTTGATCTCTTGACCTCTGATCCACCCGCCTCGGCCTCCCAAAGTGCTGAGATTACAGGCGTAAGCCACCGTGCCTGGCCTACTCTGCTTTTACTTGGATTACTCTCTCATTTCTTTAATAGCTACCTCCCAAAGAAATCACTTTTTTTCAGCCCATGGTATACTATCATTTCTCCACCCTTAATTAAAAAAAAAAAAAAACTTCCCCTGACCCCAAATTTGTCTTCAAGTACTGTTTCCATTTATCTCCTTCTCTTTATGGCACACTATGGAAAGAGTAGGCTTCAATCACAGCCTCTTGGGCTTGCAGCTCCACTTCTCCACTGGAACTTCTCTTACTGGCCCCCTTTTCTAGTTATACTTTTTTTCTTGATTATTTCTTATGATTTAAGTGATCCACGTCTCTGTTTCTAGATTTATCTGCCTATAAATGCGCCCTTGGTGATTTTATATTACTCCTATCTCATTGCTTTAAATTTCATCTATATTCTGATGGGTTAAAAATGTCTCTCTCTGCTCAAGTTCTTTCCACTGAACTTTGGACTCGGATATCCAATCATCTGCACATCTTTCCACTTGAATATGTCATAGACACAACATATAGTATATCCCAAACTGAACGTCTAATATTAACGTAAAAAATTGTACCCGTCAAAAACTCTTTACCCAAGTCATCTCCATTTTGATTAATAAGAATTTCATCCTTCCAGTTGTCCAACCCTAAAACCTTAGCCTTATTCATGACTCCTTTTTAATGCCTCACATCTGATGCCCTGATATTCTATTCACTTTGATATCTTGTTGACACCAGAAGTATTGTTTTCCATTTGAACTCAGAGACAAATGGTGTATATCAATCAACTTTTGGGATGTTTCTCGTATTTGAACTCTTGCTACTTTTGTCAGAAATTCAGAAACTTAAAAAACTTTAGATGACACAATATCTAACTATAACAAATAAGGTACTGAAACACCCTAGAATAATTGTGTTTTCAAAATATATCCAGAATTTGCCAGTTCTCCTTTTTTCTACTTTTGTCTGTTTTCTTAACTGGCATATTAACAATGGTTAATTGGTACATAGATAGCCCTCAATAAATGCATGTAAAATGAAATTAATATAATGGACATAACATTAAAATGATAACTACAGTGAAAAAAGGACCTAATAATTTTCAGGTGAAATCAATAGACAGAAAAGGTAAGAACTATACCTTTGGCTTTGGAAGGCATTCAGAAAGTAATCACAGTGAACTTATGATAAATTTTACTCAACTAAAGGGATTGATATAAATAGAAAACAAAAATTTGCTTTTGGTTATGCCATCACTGAATAATCAAAGAATATGAGGAAGAAAAGATTTAGTCATTCTGTAGAAGCAGTGTTACAGTTTAGAAGGTCTCCCTGTTGCTCTGGAATTTGGAAACAGCAGATTAAAAAATGGAAGAAGGCCATGAATGGTGGCTCATACCCGAAATATTAGCACTTTAGGAGACCAAGGCAGGAGGACTGCTTGATGTCAGGAGTTCAAGACCGGCCTGAACAACGTAGTGAAACCCTGTCTCTACAAAGAAGGAAAACAAATTATTCAGACATGATGGTGTATAGCACATATGTAGTCAAGTCTACTCAGCAGGTTGAGAAGAGAAGATTGCTTGGGCTCAGGAATTCAACACTTCAGTGAGCCATGATCATGCCGCTGCACTCAAGTCTGTGTGAAGAACAAACAAACAAACAAAAAAGCAGTGTGGGGAGCGATGGGCGGAGAAGAAGGATAAATTTGCAACACAGGTTGAACATCAATAATTTAAAAATCCAAAATTTAAAAGGTCCCAAATTTATAACTTTTTGAGTGCTGACATAATGCCATGAGTGGAAAATTCTAAACCTGACTTCCTGTGAAAAATTGCAGCAGAATGCAAGTGTACAATATGGTTTATTCAGCATTCTCAGGACAAAAAAATAGTCTCCCAGCCCCCGTTAGCTGCTACGTATCTTTTTCATGCACACCCAGATTCCCCCACGCAAGCACACCCACAAAGGGTAATACAATGGCATGTGTGCAGAGTGGATATGCCAATGGCAGGTTCCCCACAATGCTCCACATTGGGTCAAGAACTATATGCATTAAACTGTGGTTTCTGTTTTGGTTTTGTTTGTTTGTTTATTTTTCACTGTGTGGCATAAAGATATTGTTGAAAATGTCAAAAAAGGTCTGAAGATACCCCTAGGGCTAACAGTGATAAGAAAAAAAGGAAGCGTTTGTTTTTCTCTATAGCACAGAAAGTCCAACTGTTGGAGCAACTAGACAGTGGTGTAAGTGGGAAACATCTTACAGGAGAGTATGGTATTGGAATGACCACCGTATATGACCTGAAGAAACAAAAGGATAAATTGTTGAAGGTCTCCATTGAAAGTGATGACAGAGTTAATGAAAAATAGAAAAATACTGTATAAAGCTAAAAATGAAGATCTCAAATGTGTATTGAAAGAGTGGATCCATCAGTGTCACGGTGTACACATGTCACTTAATGGTATTCTGATGGTGGAACAAGGAAAGATCTTTCACAATGAACTGACAATTGGAGGAAGCATTCAATAGGCTAGTTGTAGAAACTTAAGGAAAGACGTGACATTAAAATTTTAAAACTTTGTGGTGATAAATAGTAAAGACATTCATTGATGAGTTTACTAAGATCATTGCTGATGAAAATATGACTCTGGAACAAATCTTTGTTGTTGAAACAACACCAGTTTTGATGCCTGAGAAAGATACTGACCAAGGCAGCCCCTACAGGAAGTAAGGATGCCAAGGACAGAATAACTGAGTTTGGATGTACTTATGCAGCAGGAACCCATAAATAAAAACTTGCTGTGATAACCAAAAGCTCGTGTCCTTGCTGTTTTCAGGGAATGAATTTCTTATCAGTTTATTATTATGCCAACAAAAGGGCTTGGTTCACCAGGGACATATTTCTGATTGGTTTTACAAACATTTTGTATCGGCAGTTCTTGCTCACTGCAGGGAAGCTGGACTGGATGACTGCAAGAATGTATTTGATGATATTTATTCTACTCATTGTCTAGATGAAATTATTGTCAAAAACAATGTTTATGCCATGTACTTTCCTCCAAATGTGACTTCACTAATTTAGCCAAGGGACAAAGTTATCCTTTGATCAACAAAGAATAAATATAAAACACTTCCTTAAATAGCATGCCCGTACCAGGGAAGAGAGGAATATGTGTGGAAGGCTTTCAAAAGAAGTTTAGCATGAAGGATGTCATATATGCTGTGGTTAAGCTTTGGAATGCAGTGACTAAAGACATAGTTGTACCTGCCTGGTATGACCTCTCGGCTGCATCTGTGTTCAGTTGATGATGAACCAGGTCGTGACTTTGAAGGATTCCTTATATCAAATGATGTCTTACCCTACATATGCAAAACAACAACAACAACAACAACAAAAGAACCTTTCAGAGTCCATTAGTGGGCTGGAAGAAGTGGATATCAAAGAAATTTTTAACATTGATAATAAGGCTCCAGTTGTTCATTCATTGAGCAATGATGACATAGCCAAAATGGTGCTGAATGATACTGTGATAATAGTAATGATGAAGATAACAGTGTTAACACTGCAGAAAAAGTGCCTAGAGGCAACGTGATGGAAAAGCATGATGGTCTTAGGGAAGAACTAGAACAGTGGCATTCACTACTGGACGATAAATTATGCCAGTCGATAAAAATCAAAGAGATTTCTAATACAAAAACTTGTTAATGAGGCAGATGACTCTAGAGGAAACATTTTAAAAAGCTACCCAGCAGAAGGCCTCCTCCATCTCAGGGGACGCATTTCCTGGTCCAACTGCTTCTAGTGTTTCTTCTCACCTAAAAAAAATATATATATACAGTGTACAGTAACGTTTTAATCCAAACATAGCACTGAATGTAGAGATGGAAATCTTCAGTTGTTTGTGGTTGCAGTTGTTTCACAGCTGATACAGATACTCTGGCAATGCTACTGTGTTGCTTAGTGACCCTGAATACATTATTTTTTCACTGCATTAATGCTATATCACATTTTTTACTGGCAAGTATTTATGTATAAATAATTGCAATAAAATAATTGCTTCTTAGCAGCATATAAACTCAGTCAGGAATGATGACGATGCCACAAAACCACAGATTATCCACACAGGTAACTGAGATAGAAACACCTTTGATGTCTGATGGTTCAATGCAGACACACTTTGTTTCATGTACAAATTTTAAAAAGCGTATACAATTACCTTCAGGTTATGTATATAAGGTGTATATGAAACATAGGTGAATTTTGACTTTGGTCCCATCCCCAAGATGTCTCACTATGTATAGGCAAATATTCCAAAATCTGAAAAAATTCAACATGCAAAACACTTCTGGTCCGAAGCATTTCTAATGAGGAATATTAAACCTGTAGTAGAATAACCCTATAAAAGAATGAACCTGTCAGAATTCTAAAACTCATGAGATGTTTTCTATATTAACGACGCCTCTCTCTCAGAGTCTCCACCCCTTTCTCAGTTCTTGTCTTTCTGATTTCTGTCCTTGCCACTGCATTCTGGATGCTGGTGAAACCACAAAGCACATAAGCACCTGAATTTATTGCTAGTCCCTAGCTCAGAGTGGCCCACAGAATATCCCTTCCATGATTGTTTGAGACATGGAAAGAGAGATGTTGTAGGAATTGGAAAAAATAATTTTGGGCCTCTGCACTGTGATTATTTAGCTGTTTGATTTGCTCCTTGGTTCCCTTTTCTGTGTAGTGACTATGATGATGCTTAATAAACTCAGAAGATTGTTGTGAGATATGGTGTTATTCTTCTATCAGTCTTTTCAGTAATTATCACCTGGCATCCTATACATGCCAGGCATCTCAAAATTTGAGAAAACAAAGGCGACAAAGATGTGAGCTCTCCTATGAAAGAGTAAGAAACAAATAGATAAAATGACACCACAAATAAGTGAATAAACAGGCATGCGGAAACAACTTAATTGTAAAGAGTCATGCAGAACTTAAAAGAAGATCAGACATGTATGTTATAGAATTCTAATGAACGAAGAAATTGTGGAATAACATTCTAGGAAGAAACAACTTCATGAAAGTAATTTGAAAGAAATTCTTCTTAGCTTACTATTTTCATTAGTTGCTTTTTGTAAAATTGGGCATTTCTCTTAAATTCACTGGGGTTCTGGTAGTTCTCTGATTTTCTGTAACCCCAACCTTCAATGCCCTTGTCATTGTTGAACTTTTATTGCTTATGGTTGGTGTAGGGGCCTCAATGAGGAATAATTATGTCTTGTTCTTCAAGTGAAATGGCCCTCATGATATAGAATTCTGATGAAGTTAGTCTTGGCAGGGTAAGATGCAGGCTTTATAAATTTGTTAAGTCTATATAATTTTGGGAAGCCTGGAAAGAATACAGAAAATAAAATGTACAGTGTCTAGAAAGGGGTTTAGGCGAGTTAGGAGTTCTGTAGCTTAAGCTCTATTGGTTGGATAGTAAGCCTACCTGAAAGTCCTGGTGTAGTTTTGTGTGTCCAGTGTCCGTTGCCCCATCTTCTGATAATAGCACCTTGATTTTCTTTGGGGATCATTCTCTGCTCATGTGATCCAACTGAAATTGACCTAAGTGGAGCCAATCAGAACAATCTATTTATTTATTGCAGCGACTGTTTGAGGACTGAATGTGTAACCTGATTCAGTTTGATCAGAACAAATAAGACTCAATCTCAGGACTTTTCCTGAGGTTGTTATACAAGAAGTGGTCTCTTTTTCCACTAGACCTACAACTAATAAAAGGAAAGCTTGGAGCTTCTTACAGTGACCTCCACTCTCAAATGAAACAAAAACAGAGGAAACAGGACCCAAATCAGGAGAGACCAAATTCATGGTAATTGTTGGAAATGTCTGAGCCCCTGAAAAATCCATGTCTGAAACTATTTCTCCTCTACTTTTGAGTTATGTAATCCAGAAAAAAAATCTTGTTGTGCTTATACAAATGGGAAAATCTTCCCTATTGCAAGAACTACAAGATGCATGATATATAAAGATTTATCATATTTGCCATACTATTAAGGAGCAAACTTGAATGGTTCACAATGCAGATGTGTTAGAGGGATTTGCTAAGTTAGTGGGAGAGCTTAGCTGCTTAAATTTTCATCAATGCAGTAACTCACTTGATATTATGAAAATATTGTCTTTGCCATTAAATGGTAATGAAAGTTTAAAAAGATAATAAATTGTGGTTTGAAGATAAGCATCATAAATGGATGACACTCAATAAAGTAGTAAGCATCAGAAATGCATGACACTCAATAAAGTAGTATTTTTCAATTTGGATATCTTCGTAAGTCTTCATGTATATCTCCAATACTTTTAAGTAAATGACTTCAATTTGCTTTTGTTCATTATGTTCTTTGTGAGGAAGCCTAGTCATATTTACCCAATCTGATGATGATAGCACCAATAATTATTATAGTCAGGTAAAATATATTACATAATTTGTGGCATTGAGCAAGTAGCTTATTGCTTCCTGTCTTTCTTCTAAGATTCATATGATGACTTCAATATTACAGTGCTGGCTGAATTAATGGTACAGATTTTACTGCTTTGGCTTGAGTTTTGGTCTCACATTCATTGACAGAAAGAATTTGTCCTCAGAGGCCATCCCTTTCATTATGTGCTAAGAGATTCTGCCAAATGTAAAGCAAGCCCAAATTTTCATCCCACTGGCACTCAAGAAAGTTTTTTTATTTTTTTCTATAGGTTCACATTTGCCCTTTTTTTGCATAAGACTATCCACTAACATGTATAACATTTGTTTAATTCACTTCTTAACCTTTATCTGGAATTTATATTCAACTGACAAATGTTCATAGATGCCAGACTGGCTCAATATCAATAAAGCTGGTATGTCATTTGTAAAACAGTAATACTACAATTATTGGATGAGTTCAGGAAACCATTTTAGAAATAAAATAATTTAGGTTAAACAGAAGTTATATAAGCATATGGTTACATGTGCTTTTACTGACTACCAGACGTTATTAAATAATGGAAAATATCTGACGTTTACAATCTCTGTAAATGATCACTGAAATTGCCTTTTCTTGAATGTTTATAAAAATTAAGAAGATCAAGCTGGGATAATTCAAATCAGCTTAAATCCTTTATTTAAATGGCTACATTATAATTATGTTTACTAAAGAGCTAAAAAGCATTCCATTCTAGCACATTGTAAAGGCTATAACTTATTTTAGGTCTTGGCAAAATTAGAATGATTCACGTTTTTCCTACCGACTGGGCGTATTTGTCTCCTTTGCACTGCAGCTTCCTCCTCCTCCTTGTATAACATACATTTACATGTGTGAATACAAACAAATATAAAAATGTCCATATATGAATGAACACCCAAAGCAAGCAGGATGGCTGTCTCTAGAGAAGCAATAAGTGGGTTCCCCACAGTTGCTCAGGGTACATGTGGACTGATGTAGTTCCAGGACAAACCTATTATAAGCGCAAGTTAATAACAGTATCTTTAAGCAAAGAAACAGATGGAATCCACCTTTTGATAAGCACTTTCTACAATCCTCTCCTTGTTGGCTCCATTGGACTGAGTCCACCCTTTCCAGGGTTCACCCATCCAGAAGGATTAAATTTCCTGTTTTATTGAATCAGGAAGAACCATGTGATTTAATCTGACAAATGAAATACAAGTGGAAAAATGACATGGGCTGTTGCTGAGCAGAAGCTTAAGAGATATTGCTTTATTTTCTCATCTCTCTTTTCCTTTGGTCATGAAATCAACATGTCCCAGACTGGGGTTATTCTTTCAGCATGGTTGTTAGAATAAAGGATACCTGGGATAGAGCTACAACAAACACAGAGTGGACATTAATTTCAGCAAAAGTATATCTTCGTTTTGGATGCCCCTGAAATTTCTAAACCATTTATAAATGCAATATAACCATCTAAGTCAGGATTTCTCAATCTTTGCACTATTGGCATTGTAAAATGCATATTTCTTTTTTCTGTCGGGCTGTTTTGTCATTGTAGGTTGTTTAGCAGCATCATTGGCCACTTCCCCTTAGATGTCACCACCACACCTACGGTTGTGACAACGAAAAATGTTTCCAGATATTGCCAAATGTCCCTTGGGGGAAAAACCATCCCGAGTTGAAAACCACTAATCTCAGCATGGTAGTTCTTAACATGGATTCCCAGAGCCAGCCATATCTGGAAATATGTTAGAAATTCAAAGCCTCAGGACCCTCCCTGTCCAAATGAATGAGCAGTTATATGGCTGGGGCACAGCAAAGTGTGTTTTAATAAGTCCTCCAATTAGTTCTGAATATATGAAGCTTGGGAACCACAGGTTTAAACTGATTGGTATATAAGCAGTTTTAAATAAGGAAAGGGCATAAATTCTGCTTTTATTTACATATGAATAAGGTCAACTCTTTTGATATATAGAGCATTAGAATTCCATTTTTTTGTAAATCTGTAAGGCTTTCGGGTATATTAGCATATACGCTAGTGTAATATATGTTAAATAAATTGAAATTGCATAATTTGAACAAATTTCACTATGGTCTTAGAACTTGGAAATTCACTGAGTTACAGTAACTCAAAATGAAGGAGAAAAATGTTCTGCTTAGGAATTCCAAGGGAAGTGTCATTTTGATCTTCTAAAAATACTTTACAAAATTATGTTTTTAGAAGTATAACTGTCAGTTTTAATGATCTGATACTTGTACCCTCATTTTATTTAAGCACATTTTATATAAACACAATTAGTTTTCAAAAAGTGTAGAATTGAGAATGAGTATCAATAATTCACAGATTTCTTTATTGCAAAATTTTGCCACAAATAATTGCTGTTCTTTTCATCTAATTTCCTTTGGCATGTCTAAAAAATGGATCTAAGTCTGGTCTACCTTGAAAGGTGGGGCATAAGGAATAATTAACTTTGCAAAGTGGTTATTTGTGAAGTTATAGGCAATGCGTATTACAATGCTAATGTATATAGTTAAGAGATTGGGTATTTCCCGTAGTTGAGATTACCAATAGGAGGTAGAAAAACAGAATTAACTTATCATATTCGCTCTGAAAATGATGATGGTAATATTTCTGCATATTTCTCTACTTTCCCTCATTTGATAAAGAAAAAAATCCCTATTTTTCTATTTGTGGGCAGTAAGTCTTCAAAGTCAAATACTAAAAAGTTTATACTTTTCTTCTTAACTATAAATGGTACTCGTGATTTCTGCTGTACTATATATTTGTTTTTAAAAGTTTCCTAAAATCAGAATTTTATGGTGGTGGTCTATAGTGACACAGTGACACAGTGCAGCATATTTTAATATTTAAAAAAATTAAAATATTTAAAAAGTAAGAGCTGATTATGCTGTGATAGGCTTATGAAGTAGACTTGGAAAAATGCAATATCAAAAGACACAATGTGCATGTTGTGTTATCCGTGACATTATTATGTTCCACGCACTTGACTATAAACTTTCAATTGTATACTTCGAGTCAAAATATCAGGGGAAACCCCTTTTAGGTTATCATTTTTCTTTTCTTTTCATGTTTTTGCAAAAGATAGTAAGAAATCTTGATTTTTATGTCACATTAGAATTTTACTAAATAAATTCAAAATAAAAAGGCTTTGACTTTGTTCTTTAAAAGATGAGGGGGAAGTCTTTCCCTTTAAAGCATTATCTCCTAGTGGGTGGAGAGTGTCATGCTTCGTTTTTTAGGTCCTTTACACGCTTGAATTTGATTTGTGCTTTTACAGCACAAATCCCAACATTCAGAAAGGAGATCTGCCTGCTTCAGCTGCCTGCAGCTACAGAGAATTAGTCTGTCATTCTCGGCATCGGGGAGCGTGTGTTGTGTATGTAAGTGTTTGTGTGTGTGTTCGTGTCTGAGATTGGGTGGCTGAGAGTCATTTAAATGTGCATGAGGTTAATAGTGGAACATCTCACACAGGCTTGGCTCTGAAACCTGTGGCATTCTAGGCTGGACAGCCGTTCCCGTGCCTCTGTTTTAATTTAGCAGGATGTTTGCTGCCATGGCAGCCAGCAGCATCCACTGCAGCAGCAAGGAAGAGCCATAGATCTGAGAATGCAGGTGGAATACTAAAACGCAAGCGGCTCCTACAGGGCTGGGCTTTCGTGCTTAATTCCTGCTCTTCCTGGGCTCCTATGGGGAGGCTGTACTTGCTGCACTGTGTCAGCTCATTAGAGTTAAAGGGTTACAGACCTAGGTCAATTAAGGGCTGGTGAAAGGCAGGAGAAAAAAGAAAGCAAAAAGCAAGAGACCTCAGCTCCTGCTTCACCTTCTCGCGTTTCGGAACACAGAAGGAATAGAGGGAAATGTGGACCCATCCTCCTGCTGAGACATGTGATTGGATGAAGACGGGCAAACGTAGTTGGCTTCCTGGACTACTTTTCATCTGGAGGAGAGTGTTTGGTGAACTCTTTTCTGCTTCAGCTATATTTGAGCAAAATATTTGCAAGTATTGCTGATTAGTAAAATGATGTGTCAAGCTAAATTGTGGGCAAACCATTATATATACCACATCTCCAGAATCTTCTGTGAATGTGTGAGCTTGAGCTTTTATTGAAGTGCATGTGGTAATTAAAATCAAACGGATCCATTACAATCACAGTGTAAAAAGACAATATGAAGTGCAATTGAAAGGAAGAAGCCCCTGGAAGAAACATGCAGCGGCCTGCTGAACTCTCTGTGTTCCGGAGCAAAGAAGTAAGGGGAAAGGGAGCTAGCCTTCAGAAACAAAAGTCTCTCACCAATCTTTCCCTCACCAGTGATGGGGAGAGGAGACCCACGGTGCGCATTTCCAACTGGTTTGGAAACGCTGCCAAGGCCAGCCAGAGAGAAGCCAACTATGCCGAGAGGCGCTCACTGTCCAGGTTTCTCTCCAGGTCTGTGCAGTCCCTGTATCACACCAGCGGCTCAGCCTGGAACCTCCTGCCTGCTGGGGGCAGCCAGTCAGACAGTGAAGACTTAGAGGAATTGTCTGCAAGAAGAGGCTTAGAAGGTGAGAGTGATGAAGATAGTAGGTCTGAAGATGAAAATGTGTCCTCCAAGTTGAGCAGCATCAGCAGAAGCTGGGCTGAAGAGGAGGGAGAAAACTGTTTGCGGGAAGGGACAGCTCATCTGGATGAGGAAGTGATCCTTACCATGCTGGGTGATCTGGAACAGGCGCTTTACACTGACTTATTAGGTAAGTCCAGTTTGCTCCTAAAAATGTGTGTGGGATATTAAGGCATTTCGTGTCTCTTTTGAAATTATTTGCATTTGCCAAGTAACTTTCATTTTTTAGACTGATTTTTAAAAATACATAGTTACACTTTTAATTCCTGTTTCTTGAAATGACTTTTTTTTTTTTTTTTTTTTTAACTGAGCTATGAGCAGCACTGGTAAGGTTCATTTGGAGAAAGCAAATTCCAAAGATCTGCTGTGAACATTATTAGCCTAGCCTCGTGTCCAGGACCTTCTAGACATCCATAAATAAGTGTTAACATTTTAAAACCCCAAACATGTTTTTTACCTAGTCATTAATGGGGCTTATTTGTTCAACTTCTCTCAAGGTGACCTCATTACAGATATGAGATGAAAAATGAAGGTCCTCCTGGGCAAATTTCCTGTAGAGTTAAGTTTCTTCTGCTGCCTTCATGCTACCTGAATAGATGGCTTCCTCGGTAACTCAATGACAAGCCCTGTGCATTGCAGTAACACTTTCAGAATTGCAGAGGCCTCTGCTGGCTTCTACCTTTTTCTTTCTTTTTTTTTTTTCAGAGTTTGAAAAAAACTGGTTCTTCATGTGCACATTCTAAGTATTTAAGCTACTATGTAGATGACCATGAACTGTTTTCGTACTTTATAAACTAGACCTTTTTGTTGTCCTGAGTTTCAGTAGCAACTTCTAGCATAATCTTTAATTAGCTAGATAAGAAGAGATCAAGTGATTCTATAGTTTATGACTAAACTTTAAATGTCAACTTTGCCACCTACCTAAACATCTAACATATGAACATTTTAGTTGTTATTTCTGAATTCAGTGTTCCACCAAAATATATTTACATCCTACAGTTTTTTCTTCCATAAGTATTAAACTACTGGCTGTATCATATTTTATGTCAATGTGTATTTCCACAAAGGACTTCATATAGGGCTCCTTAAATTGAAAGAAATTAAACCTTGCCAGTGATCTCTTTGTTTCTGATCCATGAAACTAATGCTAAATGCAGGTTTGTTTTTATTCTTAATGTAGACCCCCCTGTTACAAGATGTTTTATGAGGGTTTCTGGATTGTTTTAGTGAGCCAGCTGTAGAAGAAGAAAGCTTAGACAGATAGCAGAGGCAAATATTGTTCAATTTTTCATGTCAGTTTGGTTTTAAAAGAGTAATGTTTCCACAGTTGTTAGAATAGTGGTTTCTGAATCTGAATACACCAGGTGCTCCAACACTGAAGATTTACTTTTGCACCATTGTATGATTTCTATGATGAACTGCTTCTCATAAAGGGCTATTTGCAGCACAAAGGCGAGAGAAAGTCTTAATCTTTATGAAGCTTTTTTCTTTTTCGGATCCTCTGGAAATGTAGAATCAGATCAGATAATATTCTTCTTTTGCTTTTGAAGTGGTATCATTTATCTTGTTCTCAGTATTTTTTAAGTATTAACAAAGATATGAACAGAGTGCAGTTCCCTCGCAGTATTTGTTGCTTACTCAGTTAAATTATAGCATACTGTGGGTGGGTGTATGTATGACATGTGCCTTTTTGTGCATAAATAACTTGGAGCATTATTGTCAGAGGGTAACCTCTCAAAAGAAGCCGGTATGCCTTGGCTTTTCAATAGGAGCATCTGTTTATTGTATTTATGTGATTATTCTCTTTTATGGTTTTTTTTTCCTACTTATGCCAGTATTCAAAAATGCAAGTGAAAAAGTAAGGGGAAGTTTATTCAAATAGCTGTGATATGAATAATCATATCTCTAGATAATGAAGCATCTGATGCAATTCCCTAAATAATGATACATGTTAAGTTGTTGAATATAACTACACCCACTGCACACAGGAATTTCAGAATTTCTGCCACGTGCTTGAATAGGTTCTGCTTATGACTCAAAATGGCCTCTTTCAAGTTAGTTTTTAGGTGGAGTTCCTTGAGTTTAACTCTTTACTCTTAGATATTCTTCTAAACCAAACAGATTAAGGATTTGTGCTATAGCTGTATAGGAGGATATTTTAAAAGTAACTATAAAGCTTTTGGCCATATTTTGCTATTTTTCTCCAAAGTGTCAAGATTAACCAGAGGGGAGGGGATTAAAATTCTTCATCCAAATCACCATTGAGGTCATCCACAAAACTGGAGTTACTTCACACAATAAACCAGAAAGCTGTACACTAAATAACATTTGTAATATGGATGGAGTAGAGGGCATAATTCTCTGAGAATAAAGTTCATTCATATAGACTTGATTTTCTATTAAAATATGGCAATGCTGGCAGTGTTAATTACAATGTGTATAATTAAAGCCTAAAAATTAAGAGCAGGATCACAGATTAAATAGTCTCTCTGCCACCAAATAGTAATGTAGAAGTACCAAATTGATACTTTTTTTGTTCTCTACTCAAAAGAACACCTTATGAGCAATGAGAAAGCACTTTGCACCAAAGTTAAAAACTCCAGTAAATTTTAGAACATACCATTTTGGAAAATGTGTGGAAGTCATTCCATTGTGTTCAACACATAGGAAGCCTCTTTCAGGAATAATGGTTGACTTTGAGATTATGAGAGTAGGAGGAGACACAACATTATTGTGATTAAATACATTTCTCATGTGCAATTTCTGGTAACTTTTACTCTTACTAACGTTTAATTTTATTTGTGCTTTTATATTTGGACTTTGCAGTTGTTTTTGTTTCTTCCAAAGCCTCTGGATCTCATTCAGATACAAATTTACAGGATATTTAGGACTGTGCAATCAGTCTTTAGGGGGTTTGTAAGTATACTTAGTTTTATCTTGCCTTTTGTGGGTCATTGAAAACATTTACTGCAATAAATTCTGCTTTGGGTATTATCTTTCGTGACATGAATAAGGCAGCAATTATTTTTTGCTCAATAAGTGTTTGGAGGAAAAGGTCCATTTGTCTGACTGTCATGAGGGGTGCAATGTTATGAATGAATGTCATGATGAAAAAACACCTAAGGAATGAGGGAGGCTATGGTTCTAAAACATGATAGAAACCACATAAACAGTGAGTTCCATTAGAAGAATCCAAAGATCTAAGATAGCTGTTGGGTTGAAAAAAGAAATTGAAAAGGAGATGAAGTAGATGTGAAAATATTTTTAGTGAAACAGCAACATTCTTAAAATTAATATCAAAAATGGAATGTAATTCAGATGTCAATTTTAATATTTCAGTTGGCAAGAGGTTGAGATGCAGCTGGATTACAACTTAAAAGTTCTCCTGCGGGAAGGGGGAAGAGGGAAAGGGACAGGAACATGTAATGGTGTGTTCTAGGAACTTCTATGAGATCAATTACTTTTACCTCCCCCAACCCACCAAAAAAAAGGTCATCTCAACATACTGCTTCTTTCATGACTTTTTAATCTTCCACCTACAATCCCAGATGACTATAACTGTGTGAAATCTCTCATACTGCATCTTGGGTTTAGTGCTTCTCCAATTTTGTTCCTTTCGGTACCCACTTTGACCCAGTTTGAATAAATTTCTCCTTTGCCTGTCTTTTCCTTGACTGTAATAAATATTTTTCCCACTCTGTAAGGTTTTCTCTACAAAACTCTTCTTTTTCTTCAATGTTCTATCAGATTACTTGGAAGTGAAGGGTAGAGTTCTTTATAGCCATTTCACAAATACCCTTTATTATATGTATGAGAAGTAAGGGAAGAATTTCCAGGAAGAATATGATCAGTCTCAAGAGCTATTAACCGTTCTGAGTTCTAAAAGAATAATATTAATCTATAGGATTAGTGATTGCATAAATTTAATTAGTGTAGAAAATGTTTTTGTCATGTGCATGAGATCCCAACATGTGTTTTTTTATTCTTTAAAAATATTTACTTCAGGAAAGTTTCTTAGTAGTTTATGTTTGAAATAATGATGTTGTTATTAAGTACATTTTAATTGTTTAAATCGTTTGTAAATTCAAAGGAAGAAATTAACAGGCTGGCAGCACAATGGTGGCTATTTTAGCAACCACCCAGAGTGAGGAATAAGGAACAAGGTAGTAATGTTTGGCTAAAAACGATAATAAAGGAATTAGCAGTTGTCTGCCATTGTAAAGATAATGTAAATTTGTTCATTTGGTTTCAGACCCACTGGAACCATGGGGTGAAAGTTTAAAGGAGACAAATTATTGCTAATCCCCCATAAATGTTTCACATTTTGACCTGCTACTGGAAGGAGCTATCTCTGACTGCTGAGGCGGAGGCCTTTCCAGTGTGGGCGTTTTCGGGCAGAGGCAGATGGCCTTGTCTCACGTGAGACAGATGAAGGCAATGGCTAAAAGCTAAGGCAAGACAGTTTCTGAAATCCCCACCAACTGTGTGATTGTGATGATAAGTATTAATGGGACACATTTGTTATAGATTTGTGAAAATTTGGCCTGAATATTAAGGAAGTAAATTAACAGGTTAAACAGCTGTATTCTTAAAACAGATTATAGATATGCATCTTGACTTCTCTGACATTTTTCATAGTGTAATTTAATATACTATTTTTTGCTTTTCTTTTCCTTCGCTTTCTTTTTCTTCCTTCCTCTTTTCATTCCATTCCCTTCCCAATCATCCCCTTCCAACTTCCTTTTTCTCTGTCTCATCTCCTTCCCTGCCCTTCTCTTAATCTGTCCACTCCCTACTTCCTTTTTTTTTTTTTAATGAAAATGTCCATCACTAGACATCTGTTCAGTCCAAATTGAACAGAATAAAAATTCTGCTTCCACTACTCTCTTTTCACGTTCTTCCTATTGTCTAGACTCATTCGCTTCGGAAGACCACTGGCTTGGGAAGTATTGTATGACTATAAACAAAATGGCTTAAGGTCGCTTCTGCTAGGAGTTGGTAGGTGCTAATTGTATCAGGCCAGCGTTAGTCCTACTTGCAGAACTATTTGTTTCATGCTCATTAGATAAAAACGTTTTGGGTTTAGATGCCTAGGGCTTTACTTGAACTCTAGTATCATTGGTAGAACTATAGAAATTGGAGAAGTAATTAAAAATAAAACCATCTAATGTTGTTGGTCTTTGTCCATGAGTCTAATAAAATACTTCAAAAGCTATTGCTTCCATAAGAAAAGGCCTCGGCCAGGCATGGTGGCTCACACCTGTAATACCAGAACTTTGGGAGGCTGAGGCTGGCAGATCACTTGAGGTCTGGATTTTGAGACCAGCCTCAACCATGTGGTGAAACCCCATCTCTACTAAAAATACAAAAAATTTGCTGGATGTGGTGGCAAGCACCTAATAATCAGCTACTTGGAAGGCTAAGGCAGGGGACTCACTTGAACCCCAGAGGTGCAGTGATCCAAGACACTCCAGCCTGGGCAGCAAAATGAGACTCTGTCTCACAAAAAAACGAAACTAAACAAAACAAAACCAGAAAAGGCCTCTAGTTTATTCCCCAGAGTCCGAATGTTTACCTTCTACATAAGGCAAGTTTACCTCGAGTATTCTGAGTACACCTAGAAACACCCTGAAATAATTAGGATCCTAATAATCATAGATTTTTTATTATACTTTAAGTTCTAAGATACATGTGCAGAATGTGTAGTTTGGTTACATAGGTATACATGTGCCAAGGTGGTTTGCTGCACCCATCAACCCATCATCTATATTAGATATTTCTCCTAATGCTATCTCTCCCATGCCCCCAATGCCCCAACAGGCCCTGGTATGTGATGTTCCCCTCCCTATGTCCATTTGTTCTCATTGTTCAACTCACACTTACGAGTGAGAACATGTGGTATTTGGCTTTCTGTTCCTGCGTTAGTTTGCTGAGAATGTTGGTTTCCAGCTTCATCCATATCCCTGCAAATGACATGAACTCATTCTTTTTACGGCTGCATAGTATTCCATGGTGTATATGTACCACATTTCTTTATCCAGTCTATCATTGATGGGCATTTGGGTTGGTTCCAGGTCTTCCCTATTGTGAACAGTGCCACAGTAAACATACATGTGCATGGGTCTTTATAGTAGAATGATTTATAATCCTTTGGGTATATACCTGGTAGTGGGATTGTTGGGTCAAATGGTATTTCGGGTTCTAAATCCTTGAGGAATCACCACACTGTCTTCCACAATGATTGACCTAATTTACACTCCCACCAACAGTGTAAAAGAGTTGCTATTTCTCAACATCCTCTCCAGCATCAATTGTTTTCTGACTTTTTAATGACTGCCATTCTAACTGGCATGAGATGATATCTCATTATTTTGAGGATAGTAAATGTCATGAATAGCAGATTTATCATGTTGCTTTCCTAGGTGAAGACCCTGAAACAAGAAGAATGAGAACAGTTAAAAACATAGCAGATTTGAGGCAGAATTTAGAAGAGACTATGTCCAGTCTTCGTGGGACTCAGATAAGCCACAGGTTTTTTTTCAATTCCATATATCTTTGAGTCAATAAAGAAAAAATAATTACAAAGAAACATTTAACTTTTCTTACAATGACAGAGATGGGATTTCAGTTTCCCCTTACTATTTTCTCTCTCTTTTTTATATAAAAGTTGGTAATTATCCTTAAACTGAAAATTCACAGCATATACGTATTTAGCTCTTATCTCTAGCTCTATCTACTATCTATGTCTTTTTCAATATAATCTCCAGTTCAATAGAATTACTTACTACAACTACCACTGTCACTGTTAAGTGGGTTTTTAATGCCTGCCCGAGAAAATAGTGGCACAAATTGCACTTGAAATGCATCTGGGCAAGGTAGTAGGGGCACATTCAAACATAATTGCAGTTAACTTTCAGAATAGGTCTTGGAAGGTTACACTGTGTAAAGGATTTGTTGAAAATGTAAGACAATATGTCATTTTACCCAAGATGTACTGATGGCCTTTCTTTTGAAAACAAACAAACAAAGAGCTGTAAATGAATGCTCTTTCCACATTTTGACCTCCACACAGGTGATTAGAATCTCAAAATGAACATATAATTTAGCTTTCAGGAAGATAACATGTTTCTAAAAGACAATCCTCAACTCTTGCCTTTTCTATCTTCATGCATTCTAGGTTATGGTCCTAAGTGAACCAGAGTATAGTTATTTATCCATTTTATTTGGCAGCACCCTGGAGACAACATTCGATAGCACTGTGACAACAGAAGTGAATGGAAGGACCATACCCAACTTGACAAGTCGACCCACTCCCATGACCTGGAGGTTGGGTCAGGCATGTCCACGACTTCAGGCGGGAGATGCTCCCTCCCTGGGAGGTGGCTATCCTCGCAGTGGTACCAGTAGATTCATCCACACAGACCCCTCGAGATTCATGTATACCACGCCTCTCCGTCGAGCTGCTGTTTCTCGGCTGGGAAACATGTCACAGATGGACATGAGTGAGAAAGCAAGCAGCGACCTGGACATGTCTTCTGAAGTCGATGTGGGTGGATATATGAGTGATGGTGATATCCTTGGGAAAACTCTCAGGGCTGATGACATCAACAGTGGGTAAGTAGCCCTGTTCTCCATCAGCATTGTGTGGAGAGGGAAGGCTGTCTACTAGCATGCATTCACTATAAATAAATGTGTAAGTTTGCTCAGAAAGTCAGGAGAAAATATGAGATATCCAAGGTTATTCAGGGTGTTGAAGGGCCCTTCCTCTGCTCATTCATGGAGAGTAAAGAATCCAAAATTTCTATAAATTCAAGCCACTAAGTTTTGATGTTGTTGAGAAAAACACATGTGGTCTGTTTTTCAGAGTGATTTTCACATGCTTCTTAAGTAACAGATTTTGTAGTCAAGGACGTGGGAAGGAGACAGGAGGAGTTTTGCTGATCTGCTTGAATTTTTTTTTTTTTTGTCTTGTCAGAAGCTGCCTGTAACTGCTTTAAGGAAAAAATATTTTCTTGCTGTGTTCAATTATGCACCCCTAGTTTAACATGAAAGAAAAATCACTTTGGAGTTGAAAGTTTCAGTCTATTTTCTTTTGGTGGTATAAGATTTTAATAAATCTCAGACCTTGTTTTTCTTCTGTGTCCTATTACATTCTAAAACATATTGTAGTTGTAAAACTCTTAGAGTATATTAGCAATTTGGGATATTTGGCTTAATGAGAGAATAGGCCCAAAGGGAGGCACTAGGATATTGTATTAATTGCCATTTTGAGCATTTCACGTTATGTACTATGCTCTTGTTAAGTGCTTTGAAGATAATTGTTTTATTTTGCCTTCCTACCACCAGCAATGCTTATAAGGTGGATGTTTTTATACATGTTCCATGGATAAGGAAACTGAGTCTCATTGGCCCCAGCCAGGGCCTAACACTGAGGAAATGCCAGACCTGCATTAGAACTCAGCTATGTCTGACTTCAAAACATAGGCTCAGTAATATATGGAAAAGCTTCCCAGTTAACTTTGTCTATAAACTTTATGTGAATCTGGACTTTGACGTACTCTTTATATGAATCTGCATTTTATGCATCTGACAGGACCCATATAGGAGATCATTCTTGTATATAAGTGACCCTTCCTGATTTCATTCATGAATAGCTTATGTTTGAATGGTGACGCCACCTAAAAAAGAGCACAAAATAGCTTTTGATTAGATTCACAGCTTTGCTTTGATATCCTGATACCTACCGGTCCATTCCTGGTATCCAACCTACCTGAGTTTCTAAAAATGTAGAATTATAGAGACCAATTATGATAAATTGGGATAGGTTGTTTTTCAGTTGCCCCTGGATTCAGAGCGCCTCATTTGAATCTCTTCCATTTGCTATGTGTGGACCCCTTGGGGACCTAACATATCCAAATTATTTTTTGTCATCTAGAATAAGGATAAAATTGTACCATCTTCATGAAGTTGTTAGGAATGAAGAAAATTATCCACAAATTTTAGTTTGCATAAAGCTTGGCATGATACGAGCACTCAATAAATTGATCATCCTCCTCTTTATCATGACTATTATTAATATTGCATTTATTGTCATTAATAACAATATCAATGTTTGGTTGTTGTTAGTTATAATTATCATTTTTGTATATATTTAACATAGCCTAGGAGGCAATGCCCCGTTCAGAGAACATGATGGCAAAGCAGGAGTGTCTAAGGTACACTCTTTTCCTCATCTCTCTCTTCGTTCTTCTCCATTCTTTCCACTCTATCCCCTCCTCTCTTTTCTTTATCAGTCTTCTTAAATGTGGACTCATGTGTGAATTCAATTTTATACTCACTATTCAAATATATTTGGATGGCTAATTACATATATAAATATACACATAAAGATATATATACACAGGCCAGGCGTGGTGGCTCACACCTGTAATCCCAGCACTTTGCCAAGGCAGGCGGATCACCTGAGGTCAGGAGTTTGAGACCAGCCTGAACAACCTGGTGAAACCCCATCTCTACTAAAAAAGTTAGCCAGGTGTGGTGGTGTGTGTCTGTAATCCCAGGTACTTGGGAGGCTGAGGCAGGAGAATCGCTTGAAATGCAGGAGGCAAAAGTTGCAGTGAGCTGAGATTGCACCACTACATCACTCCAGCCTGGGTGACACAGTAAGACTGTGTCTCAAAAAAACAAAGAAACAAACAACAGCAAAAAATGTGTGTGTGTGTGTGTGTTTATACATATATGCAGTCGATATCATTATTCGTGGTAGTTATGTTCTATCAAGTCACCACAAACACTGTGTTAGTGAATACTAAACTATTGCTTCTATGAGAAATATAGGTTTTGGTTCCTATGAGCTTTTAGCCACAATATTTTTGTCAACTGATCAATATATAACTTGCTATATGTGTGTCTCTCTTTAAAGATACCTTATTTAATACGTATTGTCAATTCATTCGCATGGAACTCACAGCCAACAGCACTCTCACTCAGGCCTCAATGAAGCTCGTCTAATGCATATATTCTCTGTGAGACACATTGAAGACTTCTTGCAATTAGGAACCTAAGATGGCACTTCAGCACCAAGTTTGGGGGCCATTTTAAACAGCACAATTCTCAGCATAAAAGCACACACACACAAAATGTGAAAAATGTGACACTAAATAGACCATAGAAGAACCTTTGTTGTGGTATTAGAGCTGATACAAGAAGGCAGGGTATCACTTCATTTAGCCTTAGCTGGAAACCTCTGAGACTCATTTTTTTTCACTGTTCTGTTCATATCCGTGAATGGTGGTGAAAGTGCTATGAGTTTAGATTTTGCAGCTACATATAAATTTTAGCAAGTAGGCAAATTCATGAATATAAAATTTGTGAATAATGATGATTGACTATATATACTTACACTCATGTAGAATGTTTATCTTGAGAGTGACAGCATATCTTGGGAGCAGTTTGAATAAGAAATCAAGGGACATCTACAAAGCAATATGTTGGGAATTTCAAAAGGAAGGGGATAAAAATTGAGCTAAGAGCTCAGAATGAGGGGAAAGGACTAAACTCTCGCATGAAATAGAAGAGAATAAGAAAAATGTTTTAGTTTTATTCTTGATTTAAAAGCTATAGACAAAGGAAATATGTTTAAATATGCATATATATGCACATACATATATATAAATTAGAAATGTAGAAGGTATAAATTATTCAGTTAGCTGGCATAAAGTGTGATTTTCAGAATCAGAGGAACACTGGATTAAATGATACTGATGACCTTTCTCTTAACTGAGAGTCATGGAATGTGAGTATTTAAAGATAATATTTGAGAGATAGACACTATTTTGACAGACCTTAACATCATTATGCTGAGAAGTTTACACTATAAACTACGTAAAATCCTATCTCTTAGAGGTTATAAAATAGTCATAGAACATAGCATGAGGATGATGGTGGCTTTTGAAAGGCCGCTTTATGGGAAATATACAAAATGCATTCGGGGAAAAACCCTGGGGTTCGATTTCAGGAACTACTGCAGGAGCTCAGACTCAGGCTCATCAAAGCAGAAATCTGGTAGTGGCATTTGTAGGGATAAAGTGAAGAAAATAATGGATGGGGGGAGCACTGCAAAGGAAAAGTTCATAGAACCAGAGATGGACTACCCATGAGGGCATAAGGGAGACAAAGAATGTAGATAACTACATTGTAGGCACAGGAGATGAAAAATTATACCATTAGAGAAAACCTGCAGAGAGAGTGTGGATTCTTAATGAGAAAGCAGAGAGAGGAGATGATGAATGTAGAGTTAGAGATGTAGAGTTGGACATGGTGGGATATGAAGATTGTTTGGCCAGGATAGAAATCTGTTGTATCTCATCTCAATAAAAGAGAGTGGGAATTGTGGGAGGCATTAGGACTCCTGGGAAAATAATATGGAAAGAAGAGGGATCATAAGCTGAGTTATATATGTGTGTATATATATATGTATATGTCTGTTAAAATATTTATTGAGTTCACCCTGTGTGTCAAGCAACATTCCAGACACTGTGCATTCATTAGTGAATAATACGGACACAGTACCTGCCCATGTGTGATTCACATGATGGTGTTTTCATAGTTTTGTAGCTGTCCAGTTATTCAATAAATTAATTATAATATTCACACATACGCATGCATATACCTCCACAGAAATATTCTTAGATAAGCAGTTGTTTTAAATGTTTTTTAACAACTGAGTTGTGCACATAATAATAGATGTTACAGGCATACTGTACTCAAGAGCATTTTGTATTTTCCAAGATGCTAGTGTTGTAACTGAGCAAGTTATAGAGAAAGTGCCACACTCTGAGATGAATCAGGAGTCCTTTATTGCCAGCAACTGAGAGACGGCTAATGCTCAAAATTCTCTCGGCCTTGAGGAAGGGGCTTGATTCCTTTTTATACCTTGCTTAAGATAGGGGAAGGGGAGTCCAGCTGAAGTGGAATTTTTACAGAAGCAGAACAAGCAGATTAAGGGAAGTGGCTGCGGGCCAGGGTATTTCCATACAATCACCGAAAAGGGGGGTTGTCACAATAGTAGGAGGGTTTACCGAACAGGATGCTGTTACATCGGTTACAGGTACTGAGAACAGCATGACCCAAACCTCAAGGGTTCAAGGCTCTGAGTACAGCGTGACCCAGTAATGCACCTGAGGGGGCCGTGGCAGGGAGGGAGAAGGTAAGATGGAGCTTATCGGGCTCAGAGCTAAGATGCAATCAGTTAGGCTAGCACAAGTTAGTCTAGCACACTAGCTATATTAGTTAACATTAATTTCTAAAACAGAAATCTCAAAATCTCAGTAACCTAACACAAAGAAGCCAATTTATTCTTCACATAAAACCCTCACTGGTGTTTCTGATCTTCACTTGGGGAATGCACCCCATGTAGTCTCTCAGAGAATAAAGATGGATGGTAATTCTGTTGTTACCCAATCAGATTTCCAGTGTTACCATGGGCATTGATATTCAACAGGCAAATGGCAAAAGAGAAGAAGAACTAGGGTGTGAGACTGTTTTGTATGGATCGGGCCTGGAATTCATGCATTCCTACATTCCTTTGTCTAAAACAGCCGCATGACCCCAATATGACTGTAAAAGTGCCTAGGTTATATGGTTCAACTGTGTGCCCGGGAGAAGAGGGAAATTGGTTTGATTACATCTGGCTAGTATCTGCTGCACTCACTAATTAAAATAATGCTGTTATATCCTTTGTCCTTATTTGTTTCTGCTTCGTTTCAAACCTGATTGAGATTTCTTGTTTCCTCTATTTTTGTTCCCTAACATCTTTCAAAGAAGTATTGGATAGCCTCACAAATGAGTCCCCTTAAATATGCATTGATGGTCCATATGTCTTATGTTGACCAAGTAAAAATACCCAAAATCTTACGTGAAAACTTCCCCTAGTGTTGTTTACCTGATTACTCACATGCATTTGTTTTTTGTAATGGTAGAGTACAGGACACTGAAATTTGTCATGACTCAGTTCTCTTACCTGTGTGGAAGATGGTAATACCGGTCAGCAGGTGATGGGCTGATCTTAACTCAAGGGTGATTGTGTGAGGATACCCAGGATGTGCTGGACTTACTATTTGATCATCAGCCTGTGCAGTGTGTCCTTGTCAGCTTAGGTAGGAGGCAGTCCCAATATCCCCAATATCTCAGCTTAGAATTAAAACATGGGAAGACAAGAGGGCTGGAGATATCCCAGGAAAAGTTTAATTTGATGGTGTTTTCTTTAATTAAGAAAAGGGGGCTTAGAAGTATTTATGCTGACCGGGTGTGGCAACTCATGCCTCTAATCCCAGCACTTTGGGAGGCTTAAGCAGGTGGATCACCTAAGGTCAGGAATTCGAGACCAGCATGGCCAACGTGGCAAAATCCCATCTCTAATAAAAATACAAAAATTGATTGGAAGTGGTGGTTCATGCCAGTATTCCAGCTACTTGGGAAGCTGAGGCAGGAGAATCGCTTGAACCTGGGAAGCAAATGTTGCAGTGAGCTGAGATCTTGCTACTGCACTCAGCATGGGTAACAGAGTGAGACTCCATCTCAATAAAAAAAGAAGTGTTTATGTTACAACTGATGAAAAAGTTGAATTGTAAAGTTAACTTTCTTTTCAAAATGTTTAAAAATATGTTTTACAGATTAAAGGAACAGAAGGCTCAATAATGTAGTAATGAATTTAGGATTTTCTCAAGTAACCACATAGAATGCCATGCAGTCATTTAAATGGGAATAAAGTTTCATTTTTTCCATGTACTCTAGGTATAACTCAGAAAGTTAGTTAATCAGCATTCTAAGAATTCACAATTTCTTGAAGCATGCAAAGGCTTATCTCTTCCTCCTCCTTTTTAAAATTACTTTAAACCCTGGGGGATATGAATCTGTCAGTAATTAGGAATTAGTCAGAAAAAGGCCTCTTATTCATAATGAACCTCTATGAAAAGTCTCTATGAAGTAAAAAAAAAATTCTGGAAAATTGGGATAAAAGTTACATATTTTAATTGGGTGGAAATTGAAGTTTTCTTCAGGTGTCACAGTAATAAATAGTCGGGCCAAGAATATCACCTAAATTTATACTTTAAGTTACGTGACCAAACACAAACTAATTTCTGTTGAGTAAAATTAAAAATAAGGCAAAGGGGTAAGGGTAGATATACGGTAATCCTGCTTCTGCCTTGATTCTCCCTCAATTCTCCTTTAGTAAACTTTGTGATGACTGAAGTATGCCTAGCTGTGTGTGAAAGATCAGGGTTACTCGAGCTGTGTTAAAAAGATCCATCTTTAGCACCAGACATTCCTAATCTTAATGCTCCCTCTAATTTTGTATTCAAGATATGAGGTACTTCAGTGACTATAGAAATGCTAATGCATAAAATAGCTAGTATTTTTAAAGATATCATTTATATAGCACTTACAATGTGCTAGACAATGCTCTGTGCATGTTATATGTATATTAACTCATTGATAGCTCACCATCACTGCAAGAAGTGAGCATATCATTACTGTCTCCATTTTACAGATGAAGCACTTTAAACATACCTTGTTTAAGTGACTTACCTGAGCCCACACAGCTTTTAAGTAGCAGCACTGTAGCTGAACCTAAGCAGTCTGGCTCCAGTCTACATTCGACCACTCAACCATCCTTACACACTGACCTTAGGAAACTATCTGCATGTCACATGTAAGGGCTTCTCCAAGGTGCCTGATTTTTTTCCAAACAATCATTTAAAAAGGTTCATAGCAATCATTCCTTAACATCATGCTTTTTTTTTTTTTTTTTTTGCCAGCACATTTAATCTAAGGGGCATTTTTTAATGTTATCTGTGCCACTCTAAAGGAAGATACTGAACTGGAGTTCCTTTAAGGGAGTGGTGAGGATCACTTTAGATTCTCTGTGTGTGTATATAATTACAAAATAGCTAATTGTGACAGACAGCAGCTGATATGAGATGTTAAATATAATAATGAAGATGGCTGTATTAGTGTGTTAAATATATATATATATATATATATATATATATATATATATATGGAAAGATGGCTGTATTAGTGTGTTCTCACCCTGCTAATAAAGACATACTTGAGGCTGGGTAATTTATAAAGGAAAGAGCTTTAATTGACTCACAGTTCCACATGGCTAGGGAAGCCTCACAATCATAGTGGAAGAGCAAGGGATGTCTTACATGGCACATGGCAGGCAAAAGAGCTTGTGCAAGGGAGCTCCTGTTTATAAAACCATCAGATCTTGTGAGGCTTATTCATCACCACGAGAACAGTATGGGGAAAACTGCCCCCATTATTCAGTTATCTCTACCTGGTTCCACCCTTGACACATGGGGATTATTACAATTCAGGGTGAGATTTGGGTGGGGATACAGCTAATTGCAACAGTGTTGTGACAGCAGCTGATATGAGATATTAAATATAAAACTGTAGAACTCTAGGAAGATGGCAGATATAGTGGAAGCATAGGTTTTGATCCATTACTCCTATGAACTCTTTAAAACAGTATTTTAAAAATGAAATTTTCTTTTTCTTAATTTGCTAAGAGTTATATTATCTGCAAGTCTATTAATAATATTGATAACAAAAGAGAAAAACGGGTTCTATGATAGGCTAGTTACTTGTTGCAGTCAAGAATATTGATTTCCTAATAAACTTGAAAAAAATTTTAATTCTTCCTGGTGAGTAGAATGTTTATGCAGAAAAAAATGATAATAGAATATATTTGAGTAATCATTGAAAATTGTGAACACCGTTTGTTTATTAAGTTAAATTGTACAGTTGAGTTTAATTTTCTGTGGATTAATTGGGCATTTCTTTTCAGGTACCTGACAGATGGAGGACTTAACCTGTACACTAGAAGTCTGAACCGAATACCAGACACAGTAACTTCCCGAGATGTCATCCAAAGAGGCGTTCATGATGTGACAGTGGATGCAGACAGGTAATGCCATCAGCACATGATGGGTAGGAGGGCATGAAGCAATTTCATAACTAAGACCATAAGAGAAGACTCATGTTAAACAGTATAAACCAAAGGACTTTTTATTTTGAGAAATAATTATTTAGGGATATTTTAAAAACTAGGATGATTTTCTTTACAAGACCCTTTTAGCTCTGTAATACTGAAAATAAGAGTGTGGTTGGGAGATTTTTTTTTTAATTTCAGATTACATAGTTGCAAATGTTAATATCTATAAAAGCAAAATTATAAACATATAAACATTTTTCTTATTAGAAAGAAACTCTGGTTAATAAATTTCATTCAATTCAGATATCCTCCGATTTACCTGGGTACTAATTTTATAAAGATTAAAACATATTTCAAATCATCTAGTATAATAAGCTTGAGTTTTTTTTTTTTTTTTTTTGAGGAAGTAGTAATAAAAAAAAAACTCTTATTTAGGCTTATTTTTGCTTCTTTGTTGCCTCAAATTTTTTAAAGATTTGTGTGTGTGTGTTTATATGTATGTGTTATGAACTAATTATTTTGCTAGAAAATGCTCTGCTGATTTTGTCAGAATCATCACTGTTTAAGAACATTGCTTTGGTAAGACAATGTTGTAATGTATGTTCCGGACCTGATTTTGCTCCCTCTTCACTCAGAATTTTGATGTTGTTGAGCAGGAAGGGATTGCATATTTCCAGAATTTTTATATCTAAATACCTAGAGTAGTTATTTAATTCAGCATTTATGAGAAAGGCAAAAGGTTAAGATGCAATATACTCACATTCTGAAATAGGAACTGTGTACAATTCATTGTGTATTTTTGTACAGCCAACAACAAAGGCTTGACACCCAGTAAATTCTAATATTAGTCTTCGGTTTCTCCTTATCTACAGGCTGTTGATATCCTAATTCTTAATGGTTAGAACAGTCTCAGCTCCCAACCTGTATGTATCCTTCTTTCCTAGCCTGTATACTCATGTGTGTGTATGTGAAGCATCTTCCCCCATAATGTAAGTCCATGAGTGCAGAATTTTTGTCATATTCTTTACGTGTTGAGTTTTAACAAATGTTTGTGGAGTGAATGAACAAATTAATGAATATAGGCATGAACAAATTAATGAATAATTTTATGAACAATTAATGAACAAATTAATGAATAATTAGGCTATATAGTCACACAGGCTGGCAATCACATCTAATTAACTAGAGAGGCAAATGAGGCCCAGAAAGAATCAAGGACTACAAGGATATTATGAAAGAGAAAAATGAGTTATGTGAAAAATAGGAAACAGTGATAAGAGGGAAAGAATCCCAAAATGTGGGCCACATTTTGAAACTAATGACCTATTATTCTGTTATTGTTAGCTGAAAGTGGAAAACATTATGGGAGGGAAGATCTGCTAGTGTTTGGTAAAGGAGGTTGTGATGGCAGAACCAAAAAATGAACACAAGGTAACTTCCGTTTGCAGACAGTGCAATAAACAACTCTCCTTGCTCCATCAGGGGCCCCAGATTGGGCTCTGGCTGAGGAACTCAGAACAACATAAAGACCTAGATATGTATCTAATAAACTCAGACCTGTGAAAACAGTGCCTCTTAAAATATGGTACGTGAACCAGCAGCAGCAGAAGGAGCAGCCGCAGCAGCAGCCATTGAAACTTGATAGAGAGACAGATTCTCAGCTTCATCCAGGTCTTACTGAATTAGAATATATGAAAGTAAAGCCTGGCAATCTGAGTTTTAACCAGCCCTCCAGTTGATTCTTACGTACATTAAAGTTCAAGCATCACTATATTATTAAATTGAACAAATAGATGCCAGGCCTACAAACAAGTGAACAGCTAGCATAAATATTTAAACATTAAAAATGACATTTGAAAGTTCTTATTTACTTTATTACCTGTGTTCTCTCAAGAGAATGAGAATATTGAAATATTAGAATACACCGATGGCACTAATTTTTTGAGGATTATATAAATGGTTTTTTAAAGAATTATACAATTTTAGAAATATGAAAACCACTTGAGCTTCTTGTATAAATTAAACTGCAATAAGGTCATAGTATAAATCCTCCTATTAGCAGAGAAAGAAGGTTTTTTTTTTTTTTTAATTACAGATAAGTCTGAATGTCTTTTAAAAATCTTATATTCAGGAAGTGATTTGGGATATATGTCGTTTTAAAATGCATGGCCTTAAATATTGTAGTTATGTGACTCTTTCAGTTAATTTAAAATACCTCCTTCTATGGAATATTATTTCACAAAATTTTCTAAAATTTATTACCATTTCAAGTAGAATAGCAAGAACAGATATAAGGTATTACCTTTTTGTTCATGTTTACTCAAGAAAAAGAAAAATACTTTTTCTTTCTGAGATCATATAAAAATATGTTTTCTGTCTATTTGCCTTAACCTTTTAATCCCAGCACCTTCAATTTGACTTAGTGGGAATTAGAAGACAATTGCAGAAAATGTCAATTGGGGAAATTTTATTCTACTAAAAACTATATCCATACTACATAGCAAATCACATTTTAAAGGCCAAAAAGTCTTTCATAGCATTTCTTTCTGATCATTTTCAAAACATATCTTCTCTCTGCTCCTGCAGCATGTTGATTTTTCTGTTATGCAGCTGCATAATTACATGTTTACATGTCTATTTCACTCATAGAACATGAAACACTTAAATGTAGAATAATATCTAATTCATCTTTTTATCACTAGTAGCTAGGATACTGTAGGAACTCAGTAAGAATGTTAGATAAATTGTGGAAATAACCATATCATAACCTATAGAAATGTGAGTTTAAAAAGAAAACAATTATGCATATCAAAAAAATTTTATACCATTTTTTGAAAGACCTTTCAGATGTCATATAGTTTGGACTTTTCTAGTGTTTCTTATACCATGAGACAATAGTAGAAACTCTAAGTCAAAAATCAGCTTTCTGGGATTATATACATTTGATAAAAACTGAATATCATATCTGTTCTTAGAGAGCCATGATGGATATTAACATATCAAAGGTACAGAGAAGTCCTGAGGTTCAAAGTAAAATCTTCTTAATTTTATTTAATTCAGTGCTCCATGAGTGTTTTTGTCACTGATTCACTTACTTTTTTCTCCTTTGATAACAATTAACTTATTTCCATAGCATTTTAAGAAATACTGATTTAGTTGAATGCCTTCACTTGGCCAATATAATAACAGAAACTCAGAAAAACTGATTTACCCAGGATCATGTAGCTCATAGTACGAGGATTCAGGCCTTTTACTTCTTATTCCGTGGTTCCCAGTTACTTTTGTCAAAGGTATTTTAAATAATATGAAACAGTGATTGATTCATTATGTTAAATGGTTAAATGTTAAAGCTTGCAATAGTTCACTAATAAGAAAGCTTAAAAGCCATTTTTCTAAAAGCTGTGTAAGTGCAAAAGCAAAGAAGCATAGCACAATGGCAACAAGTCAGCTAGCTAGGATAGCAATGGACTTGAATTGTTTGTATTGTTACAGCGACGGCTATAGCTTTCCCCTTTGATCGACTTCTGGTTAAAATGTGGTGGACAATAGAGTACAACTGAACTCCTCTTGCCAGTGCATTAAAAATGGCCACAAAAGAAAAAGGAGGATTTTCAGCAGCTATCTGTAGTGTATTTTAAATATTTTATTGATTAAAGATATTGCAGTTCATTTACTTTCCATATCAATCCAACATCAACCCCATTTCTTTATTTACTTGACTAAAAAAAGATTACAGAATGGGTATAATCCTTGTAGATTTGTTGGAGACTCTCCAGCAACTTCACAGATACATTTATAGCAGACAGTTAAATATGTGGGTTTTATACATTGTGTTGGGCTATGTTCAAATAGTACATTTTGGGGGACTGGAGGATGATGGTGTTTTGACCTTTATTAACTCCTATTGTTCTTACTGTAGCTTCTCTGCTAACAATCACAAATATTTGATAAAGAAATATATGATTACTTCCTAAGTGCCTGTTATTGTAATATCACCTTAGGTAAAAATAAAACAAAACCATACAGGTGAAAGTTTCTTTAGTGGCAGAAAATTTAGAAATTCACAGACATATTTATATAAAGTTTCTGAGTTTAATGGTAAGAGAGTAATATTAACAAAGGCAACTCATAATAGATCCCTATACAAAGTGCCTTAGAAGCACCAAAGAGAAACAGTTACTCCTACCTGAGAGTATAAACCAAAGATTTCAAAAAGTGGTAGCACTTAAGCAGGGGCTTAAAAAAAGCATATATCTTTTTGACCTCCAGCCTGGGAGAAATCAGAAGGAATATGGGGAGTGAGAGCATAAAGGCATAGCAGAGTTTGGTGTGAGGAACCTGTAAGGGGATTCTGAAGTGCACTGGGAATGTGGACAAGGAGACAAGGAACAAAGGACCTGGGAACATACTAGGATGTTAGGACTATAGGTGATAAGCAGCTATTTCACTAAGTTCAATGAGTTTTATTTCATTTCGTAGGAAGAGCACATGGTATAAAGATTGTATTTTAAAAGGAACTCTCTCAGAGCAATGTAAGAATATCGAAGAGGGATGAGATAAAGACAGGTAGAGTGCTTAGAAAATGACTAAAATTAACTAGATGAGACCTAACTAAAGAATGGTAGTGGGGAAGGGGCTGGGGACACCACCTATTTCTAGAAGAACTTGAGGTGTATGATACTCCTTGGCTTTCATAGCTAAATACAGACTGGGTGGCTTAAATAATAGACATTTAGTTTTTCACAGTTCTGGAGGCTAGCAGTTGATGATCAAGGTGTCAGCAAATGTGTTTTTTGATGAGAACTTTTCCTGGCTTGCAGAGAGTGGTTTTCATGCTGTGTCCTCACATGGCCTTTCCTCTGTGCTCCTGGAGAAATCTATCTATCATCTGTCTATCTATCTATCTATCTATCTATCTATCTATCTATCTATCATCTATCTATCTAATCTATCTATCTAATCTATCTATCTAT